CTCTCCACTCGCTCCTTCTCTGACCAAGAATCCAATTAGTGGTCAGTCTGTGGGGATTTCACTGTGAATCCTCCACCAGCCCGGCATCAGAGATCTCTGACTCACACACACAGACACACAGTGACACACAAACACATACACCCACCTTCATCAGCAGCAAGCAGTTGGCCATGGAGTACATGACCCGACTGAGACGAGACCTCCACAGCTTTAGAGATGCTATAAACAGGAAGAAACAGAAGGGGGTGGGGGTGGGGGTGGGGTGGGGGACGAGGAAATATTTGAAGGGTTCATTTACTTTGTATTTTCATTCCACCTGATTTATATATATAATTTTTTTACTGATATATTCTCCTTTTTTATAAAATCTCTCTAAACTCATATTCCTCCGTCCCTGTCATTACAACCAGCTGGGTTATTTTAAGGCGAGGCAGTGAGGAAGACACTGCGGCACATTTCCTCTTCCTCTGTTCTGGGAGAGCCTGTGTGCTCTGCCTGTTACTATTCATCGCTGTGTGTTTGTGTGCGTGAGAGCTGGGAGAAGAGCTAATCACTCAGCAGGGTCCTGGTGTGTGAAGGCAAGGCTCTGCATTATCGACTGTCTGTGAGAGGAGAGACAGAGGACACAGCTATTACGCCGCTTTTGTTAGGGTGGAAAACACTGGCTGAACTGAAGCGCCCTCACGGATACAGTCACACAGGCGTCGCCCTGCTCGTTTGCCAAGCGGGAGAAAACGTACAGTGCGTTTAGTTCGACTGAAACGATGAGCTCAAACTGATGAAGAGGTGTTGGAAAAGTTGCTGGAAGCGAAATGACCAAGAAACACAAGTCTGGACACGGTTCGGGTTGTGTGGAGGTGTGTCTACCTAAATTTTAGATGAAGACGCCTGCCCATTTCCCTCTCACACTGGTGCAGATGTGAGTGGATTGGCAGGACTGATCTGTATTGATCCGCTTGGCGTGAAGAGCTGGAGAGACCATTTGGTATTCAGTGAGAGTACAGAAGCCGTGAGGTGCTAAACACTGTTGGAGCACCGCATTGGTGTGTGTGTGTGTGTGTGTGTGTGTGTGTGTGTGTGTGTGGTGGACACTGGAAGTGTATGTGTGGCTGAGGTATGCTGCAATCCTGCAGCAGGTGTGTATCTGGATTAACCATTCAGGCCCATGACCTCACTCTCCTCCCAGGATGCGATGCAGTCCGGGACTGTGGCCAAGTCTGTTTCTGTGTGTGTGTGTGTGTGTGTGTGTGTGTGTGTGTGTGTGTGTTTGCTTACCTTGTCTGCTCTCCTGTGTAAGGGTGATCATGCTGCCATCCTCTGCCAAGCCTTTCTCCAAATTTTCCAGAATCTGTTCGAGCAGGGAGGGGATTTAAGCTTCAGTGGGGGGAAAGTGCTTCACTGCCTGCACTTTATTAGCGTGAGCACATTATATAACCACATTTGCAGCACGTTTTCTTGCTGCAAATTGCCAGAATCCTCAACTGATTTTTCAGACCGTTTAGTCATCTGAAAGCAAATATTTACTGCAGATGCTTATAAAAGAATTGAAATCCAGTGGTGAATATATGTGTTATGGTCAGGAATAATTCTTTGTATTTTAAGGTTTTAAAAACGTGCATAAACTCAGCGTTTTATCTTCTTAATAACCAGTTTTAAATGTTATAAATTAATTAAAAAACTACAACTTTTCCACCATTTTTTGTTTCGTTTTACATATTTATACAGTTTCTAGAGGTTTTCAGAACATTTTGAAAATCTAAAAAACAAACATTTACTGCAAATAATCATTAAATGATTTGAATACCCATACTCTTTGTCTCACTTACCAGAAAAACAACAGATTATAATATTTTTAGGACAGAGTTGCTACCTTAAGAAACTAAATTAAAACAACTTTAGAATAGATGTACAAAGACTAAACAGTCATCTGGAGGAAGTGTTCTGGTATGCGAGTGTTTGTACTAACAGCAACGCAGATGGTTTTGAGATTATGCAGGCGGTCCAGAGCCTCCTGAGGCTTGGCCAGGTACTGAGGAACCTCGGCATGCAGCAGTCGCATGGAGAATGGTACCATCGAGCCTGGATGTAAAGGGAAAGCCGGGTGGAGAGGAGAAGACGACAGGAAATGGAGGAAGAAAATGTGTGATGGAGAGGGGACAATATGAAACATGGTGGGATGGGAATGTAAAAGAAACAGTGAGAAAAAAAAGAAGAAGGCAGAGAGAGAGAAAGATGAGAATATAAAGCTATCCACCCACACACAGACTGTACACAGCCCTGGAGGCAGGAACCTACAGATGGCAGCGAGCTACGTATGGCTGCTTATTAAACCCTCTCATCTCTCCATCTCTGTGTGCTGCACAGCTCCATCACTCATCTCCCTGCCTCATCCCTCAGCCTGCCTCTACATCATTCACACTCTTCCTCACACACACCACACATACACACACCCCCGAGTCTATGTTCAGGTGAGTCCCCAGGCTTTGATCAGGGTCTCTTTGATACTGTCATCAGATCTGAAACTCAGCTAGCTGCTCCATCTTTGGTTCCTGCTTCTGCCAGTCTGTGTATCTCAATTTCTATCTCCATTCTCTGTGTGCTTGTGTTTTCTATCAAACCCATCTAGAGGACATGATACACTCTCCTTTCCCCCCCATATTACATTCTGTCTGCATTGCTTGTCCAGTGAACTTATCTTTATGCCCAACAGAGAGAGCTGATGTGGTGCGATTCAATAGTCAGTCCTTGTCTTATTAGCACTTTGAATTCAATTCAAAAATACTTTATCTTAATCTGATTAATATTTCATTTTGACTTGTTAGTTTTAAACACGTTTGTTAGGATTTGTTTTAGAAGCAACCTTGTAAAGGACAAGAAAATTGCCAAATGGCTTAATTACAAAAAACAGCATTTAAATAGGTGCTTTTTGCATTTTTGAGGCACTAAAGCAATTTATAAGAGATTTAATTTAAGAAATTTTATTCATGGAATGAAAACGGATTTTCTAAGGATATTTAAAGAAAAATCTAACATTGACTGTAAAACTCAAAAAGGATTTCTGGTTGATCTGCCCACRTCTCAATGTTTTTATTTTATCTGCTGATCCTTCTTTCTTCACAATTAGATTGTTTTATAATCTTCATATTCAATTAGAGACATTTAAATATAACGCAGGGACTTTATCTGTAAGAACAAAGTTACTAATACCTCCAAGTTCACATTAGACTAAAGTTTTCATTTTACAAACAAAATAATGAGACAAACATTGATTTTTAAGCATGCAGTCGATCCCAATCCTTTAGGAAAGTGATACATGGGGCAGCCGTCTCCTAAGGCGTTCACAGAGTGTGATTGTGGGTAATAGATAGTCGATGTGAGCGTTGGACTAAAGAAACGTTCGAATTCTGATGCCAGGCTACACAACTTACGCCAGTTTGTCTCTGAAAACCTAGTAGGGCATAAAGCGTTTAATATTGAGCAATGGAAAGTCAATCGGTGCTCTCTTTTAGAAGGCTGTGCGATATAGCTTCAAATGTTGTTGTTTTTTTATGTGTGTGCAGCTGTGTCTCTGCCACTGCCTTCGCTGTGGTAGCCCGAGGGGCGAAGCAGATCCAAAGTAATGAGAATACATTAGAGCGCAATTCATGCAGTGTAAAAAGAGGAAAAACAAAACCAAAGAACTGCTGGAGACAAGTAGAGTTGTTGGAGCTTCTCAATGATACAGTCTGATACCAAGCTCCTGGCAGAAACTTTCCTTTGAATATTTAATAGGACAGTAGTGGTATCCAAAGAAAAAGCAGTTAAAAAAAATATTTTTCGAGAGCAGGCTAATAACACATTCAATGCTAAGATAAGAGCTTTAATGCAGCATTTCAGCACAGTCATTAATAAAACTATTCAATCTAAAGTTGGCCTTATGACTAAGCTCACAAAAAAGCTTTTGGTCATTTAAAATATGAAGAGATTTGAAATAATACATAACTGTTCAGTTAGGATGTATCTAAGTTTGGCACTCTGACCCATGAGCAATGCCCAAACTGTACCTTCTACAGACCGTCAACAATAAATAAGTAAGTAAGTAAGTAAGTAAGTAAATAAATAAATAAAGAAATAAATAAATAAATAAAGAAATAAATAAGTGTGGTGAATATACTTGTGTTTCCATACAAATACCTCTCCTTCCTGGGTAAACATTTGGGTAGTACTCATAGTAAAGATCTGGATGATCAAGGCTGCCAAAGGGTTCAAACTCCAGCTCAGCATTTTGAAAAAGTTTCAACTTGGTGAGAAGAGCCAGACGCACAAACCAGAGCTGAAACAACAACAACAAAAAGTCACTAACCCCTGATTGTAATATAAATACAACATTAATGAAAACACAACAGCACATACTTTAAGTACCGTATTTATTCATGCATAATATGATCTCAAGTGTAATACAATCATCTTTTTTTATATGCGTGACTTACAATAAGAGGGGGTATATTTCAGTTATATGCAAGAAAATATTGAAACTTATTGTGGATGTACATTAAAAAAGTCATTCAAAATTAACTCCCAAGTTTTAACCCCCCCCACCCCCACACACACACACAATTTATGTATGATTTATGGAGTTAAATTTCTCATATTAAACAGTGAATACGATATTTGCACCTCTATTCATCTTGATGTCCATGTACTAAACAAAATTTCTAAATTATGTTATTAAACACAAAGTAAAAAGCTCACTACAATGAAAAAAACTAAAGTTTCAAACTGTTATCTAATAAGACAACAATGTAATTAGATTTTTGTTCTTGTTTACACTAGGGCTGTGTATTGGCAAGAATTTGGCGATACGATACATATCATAACAGAGGGGTCACGATACGATATATCCCGATATATTGCGATACTGTAAGCAAGGCAATATATTGCGATATATTGCGATTTTTTTGTCCAAAAATTCTATTAAAAAAAACCTCTTACTGAAAAAAAAAAAGAAAAGCTAATGTTTACTTACAATGCTAATGCTACCCTTACTCTCTGGCGCTCAAGAGGTAGAGGAGCCAAATGGCTTGCTAACTGCTGCCAACTAGTGGTCAGAGGCTGAACTACAACATAAAAATGAACGGTTGGCAAGAAGGTTGACATTTTAAACCTTAATAAAAAAATCKATRCAGGGCTTTAGAATATCGATACAGTATCGGGAAATGAAATATCGCGATATTTCAGTGTATCGATATTTTCTTACATCCCTAGTTTACACTGGTCTTGTATCACTTGAGGAGAAAATGTTTAAACACAGGCTTGCCACATCTTGAACACAAATTTAAAGGGCAATTCCAGGACAAATTTCCTCAAATTTAAGGAACATGTGTGTTAGCATTTACCTACTGCTACCACTGAGCATGCTATCAATAAATGATTTTAATACAATACAAATTCAATAAAAAAAAAACTGAATAGTACAGAAGTTGTTGGGTCAGAACCAATGAAAGAAAGTGGACTGAATGTATAGCCTAAACTCATGTCCATAATACATAGATTTGTCTAATGAGGGTGAGATGAGGCTTTGTTGAAGCTCTTCAGCAAATGTGTTGCAAAAAGGTGCATTTCTCAAACAGCCAACTCAATGACTCTGACTCAAAGTGACATTTCACCCACCAGAAAATTGTACGCACTGGACACGCTGTTGTGCACAGCTTAACTACGTTAACTACGTACAGGAAACACAAGAATGCAATGCTGAGCAAACAAAAACATATTTCAAATCCCCCAAAAATCATTCAAGGACTTTCAAGAACAGGTGCCTTTTATGGCTGATTAAAAAAAAAAAAAAATCTCAAGGCCTTGAACTTTTTTTCAAATTCCCAAACTTTCAAGGATTCAATGACCTGTGTGAACACTGTAAACATTTTTAAAAATACCAAGTGAAAAAAATCAATTATTTTGGTCACTATAGCTGAGAATGTGATTTTTTCTTAAAAGTTCCATACTAATTAGAAATTTGTGACTTCTAGGTCATCTGTATGGAAGGTGGCAACCTTTTTTTTTGGCCAGACAGTGTATAAAGTATATAGGATGTTTGACAATGTTGTTCTTTAAGCACTTCATTGGGTCAATGTTTCAACTAGATTTTATTTGCTGATAAAGCCTTAAATGACAAATTTTGGCTTTAATCATCTCTGCCACCCACAGAAACACAAAGCTTAAGAAAAGGGATGAATGAAGACAAGTCACTGGCATCCTACCTGCAGTGAGTCGGTGGTGTGGGAGGTTGGCTGGCCGGCCTTCCCATATCCCTGACCGTGAGCTGTCAACAGCCGGCCCGTCAGATCCACGGCAGCCCGCCAGTTCTTACTGCTCTGCAAGGGAGAAGAGTCACAACACGTCTGAGACACGCCACACTGACTGACTGGGTTACCATAAACACTTGGAGTTGTCCAATGCATGTTGACCCCTAACCCTACCATAAGAAATTTTTTGTCTTTCTCTGATGATTTCACAAATTCACAATAGCACAAAAAAACTACTTAATCATCCAATTTTACTATTAGTTATGATATAAAGGTTTTTCTTAACCTTGATTCAGTTCATCTTGCATCAAACTCATCAATTCTACAGGCGCGGTTTCACTGGGTTGCGACTAGTCAAAATTTAAGATGCATTAAAGCACGATCAATACTCACGATTTCATCTAAAGTTGCAAAATTAAAATGATGGTTTTATGGTATCAGTACAAAAGTGTCCAAATTATTACTGGTGAACTGATGCCATGAGACAGGGTTCCCACACCTTGGTCAGCATCAAATTTAAGGACCTTTCAAGAACTTTCCAGTACCAATTTCCTCAAATTCAAGAACCACGCGCGACGGCGATTACCTACTGCTACCGCAGAATGTTACCAATAAACAGGTTTAAATTAAATGATATTAAACTTTAACATCATGTAAATTCAACGAAAAACTGAACAGTATAGATATAAGTTGTTGAGTCAGAATCAATGAAAGAAAATAGATTAACTGTATACACTACATTCCTATCCACAATACATGGACATATAATTATTAGGGTTGGGCAATATTGGCAAAAATAATTAATCATGATTAATTGTGGTATTTAGCCGATAACAATTAATTTGACGATTAATCCCGTGGAGTTAGACGTGGAGAGACACCCTTATGTTCTAGTCACATAACCAATTTAGTGGGAAATATTTGCTCTTCATTAAAATCTGTTCCCAATTGTGTCAAAACTACAGACTTCAGGCTATACATCAAATTTTAAATCGTGTTGATAGATAAATAAATTACAGAACTTATTTTAATGTCCGTCATATTGAAGCAGAGAGGAGCACCTAGTGGACTGACTGGAGGCATTAATCATATTAATCATCAAGTGCCAAAACATAATCAATTAATGTTTTTCTGACAATTAATAGCACATGATACGATTATGCCCAACCCTAGTAATTATGTCCTGGGAGGTTCGGCAGCTCAGTTTGGGAGGAGGGGATGTGAACATGTCCAGACGCTCGGTGAGGACAGGTGGAGCTGTGGTGCTCTCACCTGGGCTCTGAAAGAAGGACCCGCCCTACTCTGCTCTGATTGGGTAAAACTATGACYATGGCTCACRTTATTTGTTGAAAGCCACRTCAGTTTACYGTAATCCTGAGYTATCCACCGCAACAAATATAAGTTTTTTTATTTTATATTATTATAATTTTTTACAGATGATACAATAAATATCAGTTGTGTGAATAGAGAACTTCAATCCTCAAAAAACATTCAAGGACTTTCAAGGACAACTGTAATTTTTGGCTGTTTTCACCAACTTTCCAGGGTCTTGAAATAATTTTTTCCAAATTCACAAACTTTCAAGGATTTCAAGGAGCCATGTGAGCCGTGATGAGAGGACATTAAAACACAGTGAAAAGGTGAGTGTGCTAAAAATGCACACACAGACCCAGATATTAGCAGCATCTGCTTCCACAGGAGACAGTACAATAGAAAGAGTGGGTAAGGGGAGGGGGAAGAGTAGATTCACCCCACCCTGTCAACACACATGACAAGGTCGGTTCGCCGATTGGGTCCTAAGTGCTGTGCCATTCATCACAGCCAGAGAGCTAATTAGGAGAGAGAGGAAGCGAGGGTAACTTTCTTTCTAGTCATCTCTATCACAAAACTCATCACAGTTTTCTTTGTCATACCTGCCCTTTCCTCCTCATTCATCCTTTTCTTTATTTATTTTCCAGTCTCTCTCTCATACTTTGTTTTCCTCCATATCCTCCCTCCCCTTCATCAGACTTGAATTTCTCCCTCCCTTCTCTTCTGCTGTCACTGTATCCTCATGCACTGCTCTTTCCTCATCCCACCCTCTTCTCCTCTGCTCTCCTGCCCTGTGCCAGTAGCTGCGCTGCCTCTGAATTTTCATTAGGGGGGGAAATGAAGCTGAAAACGAGGAGGCAGCCTGGATGGCCAAAAGCAGCTGCAGTCACTCACACACAAACACATCCTGCTACAGTAACGCTGCTGTCCTGCAACAGGGCATAAAAATAAGACAGGTGTGCGAGTGTGTGTCTTTAAGTGTATATGTGAGACTGGAATAAGGTGTGACTAGTGCATTCCTCAATGCACACACAGAACTGAGATGGGGCACAAAGGAATAGAGTTTCTGCAGTGTATGAACTGAATAGAGATGGACAAACTCTAGCCCACATTAGAAGAATGAAAACAGACTTTAAAGACATTCATAACTGCAGGAAAMAAAGAAAAATAAAAACAAGATCTGTGAGCAAATCCCAAGACACGAGGAGAAGCTGCTGACCAAGGGAGATAGAAACATGCAACATAAAACACCCAAGTGAGAAACTCCACAAATCGGGGGAACTTCAGCTCAGTTCTTACATAACAATGCAGCTTCACTACTTCACATAACTCAGTGCTCTGATATTGTCTTACACTAGCCTGTAATTTTAGGTCTTGAACCAAACCAAACATTAAAGATGAAAGAAGGCTGTGATTTGAGCAGAAAGCAAACAGGCTGTGTTGTTCGAGTGGCAAGTTGACAAGGTCAGTATTCAGCTGAAGATGTGATGTGAGAATCCTTAAGTGAGATAATAACAGACATCTATGTCTCCCTGTGATGTAAAATGAAGTAGACTGAGGTCTGACCTTGCTGATAAAAAAAGCGTAAGAACAATCACAGATGCAATTGAATCAAAATGCTAATCTAACATTTAAAACATGCAGGGTCTTTTGCTCCACCTGCCATTGTTCATTATAATATCAAATATAATATGTCCTGTCCTCTCTTTTCAATTTCACCAGATCATTTTTGTCCACCACTCCTATTCTACAGGCCCAATAAATTCCATTTCAACTTTGGGATCAGTTTCACTGGTCCTGTCAAACTATAACGTTTTGGACAGTCAGACGTATTTTGGTAGGATCTTCTCCTCAGTGGTCTTTATTATCACTGAATCAGCCAAGTTAAAAGGTGTCATCTCCTGTATGCAAACAGCTGCAGTTTGACCAAAGGCACAAAGTACTTTAGACTTTCTACAAGACAGATTTTCCAGGAATCGAGCACTGAGGTATGTCCTTAGAAACAAAAGGTAAACATTAATAAACCAGAGCATTTCAGATGCAGTTCCAAAAATCAGTGATGTGCCATTTTTCAAAGTTTGTGCAGCTGCTTCGATTTGTACTTTAGAACGTAACCACTCTGAAAGAACTAGGATGTAATTAATTTGCTCTTTGTTCTCATGATCGCTGCTGTTTCAACTCACTAAGTTATAAATGAACGCRAACATATTTTAGAAACTAAAATGAAGATTGACCTTAATGTGTCAGAGACAGAAACATTTGTGATTTAATGTTTTTTGCTGCAAAGCTTTCCCAAGTGAAAKTACAAGTTTCTCTCAAAAGGACCAACTCCTGATTGGTGAAATATCAACCTGCTAGTCTCTGGTTCCTGTAGTAGGAATGAAGGCAACAAAGGCATCAAAAAGTCCCTAATCACCATACTTCAGGTCAACTGAACCACTTAAAGGGGCAATCTCATGTAAAATCAWCTTTTGAGCTTTATATGATGTTATGTTATCCTCTCATCAAAAMCATGCCCAGAGTCTTCCTTTGACTCATTCATGCATGTTTGAGAAATCCTGTAGTGTCCTGAGGCAGCGAGACAGGGGAGCAAAAATGACCGGTTGGGACTAGCTCCTCCTCTGGGCTGTGTCTCCAAACCGAGCTTCCTCATCACAGAGCACACCTCCCCACCCCCAGCCCGCCACTCCGGCACCAACAACTAGCAAACACCCAGTGAAAACCTTGTCTGCTGAGCTAACAATACTACTTCTCAGCGTAGCTACACCGAGCTTCCGCAGAGGCCAATTTCAAGGTGTTTAGAAATGGAAATGAATGAGAAGTCACGTTTATCTTTGATTTAAACATATCAACTGCATTTTAATAACAACTAAAAGGTGACATAGTTACTTTATTATGGTATAGAATTTCAATATATGCCTGGGATACACATAATATTGCACCTTTAAAGATAGGTCCAGAGAAAAAGGAAGGATGAACCGAAACTATGGAAACTCATATTTTTACCTCCCATGAATCCCATCATGTGCACAAACCGTAATGCCACTCTTTAGGATTGAGTTATTTCAATTAATACAGAATAGATGGTAGGATGAAGAAAAAAATTCTAAACAAAAAGGCTGGCAATGATTAAYAATTTAGCTCAGCTCAAATGACTAAGCAATATTTCATAATCAGATCGCCCCGAAATGAAATGAGGAGGATTATCATGGAGATTTATGGCCAATAGTTTTGAATAAAGAGCTCAGTTTAGAGGCTTTGTGACAAACGTGTGTAGGAAAACTTTTTGTCATTTTTTAGACATTCTAGAAGGGAAAGGCCATTATATATTGTCATTTATTCTGTGGTTGTTGCAACAGTGTGTGACTGCATTTCCKAACGGCTGAACAAAAAGAGGGGAAGAAAATGTAAGTTTTAAAGTGCGGTATCGTAGACAGTTGTTGAACATGAAAGAATTTCTAACTGAAAATCAGTATTTTAAAAAAAACAAAAAACAGTTAACCAGAACCATTTGCAAAATACAGACCTACAACTACAGTATCTTACGTTATCAGAAAATTAAAAATCCCTCAAAAGATATACAAAACACAAGTTTATTTCTAATTAACAACACTTATTGACGGCAATAGTTCACCCAAACTCTGACATACTCACAAACACCCAGACAAAATGTGGGCAACGCAAAAATACACACTTAATGTCCTTTTTCACTCCCTCAGACACCCAAGCACATACATATAATTAGTTTCCATGCGAGT